TGCTGACAGGACTTTTCTCTTTGTGTCACTGTGTCCAGGGGCCTCGAGTTCTCAAGACTCTGCAGATAAACTCGACTGAATGGCTGCATGAAATCAGTGTGGTCATTGGTGCTTTTATTCAAAAATTCCACCAATAAAACTCGAATGCCTCACTGAAATCCAAGCAACAGGAGACCAAAACATGTAATTTGACATGAAACCATTAATGATCATGTAATGATGTCAATGGCGATGAGACCCTTTAATAAAATCCAGAATGCAGAGTTACACAAACATTAAATAATGACATCAGTCAAGAAAACATTACAAAGCCTTCACTGGACACTGTAACCGCAAACCACTGAAAACACAAAGTCAATGGGAATTCTGTTGGGAATACAACGGGAATACGATGATGGACAGACAGACAAACACAAATAGACAGAACGAAGTGATTCAGTTACAAGAAACAGGCAAAGAAAATTGATTCATCTGGCTAAAATGAGGATGTAAAAAGCCAAGATACCAACAGGCAAATTGGAATTTTCTGAATCCTCATGTGTCTCATCAACATCCAACACTAACAAAATATTTTGCCTCAAACTGTGCAGCTGAAGTTTTCCTTTCTTTGCTGCTCTGAAGTTACGATGTTTGGGGCTGTTTTCACTGACTCTGCGCTGACAGCTCGTCCAGTCTCAGATCTGTCCAAAAGAAAACTCCTGTAAAACCCCAGAGGAGGAGGTCAGAGCTGCGACTTCAGGACATTCATGTTTTTACTGCAAATTCTTTTCAATCAGGGCGGACTTGAGCTTCGGACCGGGAGGTCAACGGTTCGAATCCTCTGGAAGACCCAGGCAGGGAGAAAATAAGAAACTGCCTTCCCTAAATAAGTACGGTTAGACAAATGTGTATGCTACTCAGTACACGTCTGCTATTCTGGTTCTTTACTACATGTCAGAGGCTCTGCTATATTTATCTCAAGGCTGGAGTAACTAATTATTAGAATAAATTACTGTTTTGTTCTCTTCATTCACTCTGTTTGACATCCTGCTGGCTGGCTTTTGTTTTTTCGTAACCAGTCAGTGGCAAGTGAGTATCTTTGCCGTCGACGTTGTTTCCAGAAACTGTAACTTAAAGAAGAAATATGGTGATTTAAGAATTGGCATTTCTGTAAGCCAACTTACAAAAACCTTCCTTTGAAGATTCAGATTTTACATTTAAAATCAGAAAATATCATTAATATAATCTTTCTTCTTGTCCTTCCTTTTGCCTTTCCTTCTCTACTCCCCATTTCGTTCTTGCTTCTCTTTTTTTCTCTTTACTTCTGTTTTCTCTTCATTTTCTTCATTCTCTAGTTTGATTCATCATTTTCTTTCTGTCACTTTATTTCTTTCCTTCATTTTTTCTTTTTACTCTTTTTCCTTCCTTTCTTGTTTCTTTCTTTCCTTCTACTGATCTGAAAGTGAATGAAACTTTCCTTACTTTGGAAACTTTTTTGTATTACGTATTGTATTACAGGACAGTAAAGTAAGGAAGTAACTAAATGTATGTTGCTACTATTTACAACTAGCAATTATGTTCATTATCAATAATTTGTCGGTCATTATTCCAAAATAAAACAATTAATAATTTAGTTTATTAAATGACAGAAAACAGTGAAAAACAGGAATATTTCCCAGACTTCAAGATGACGTCTTCAAATTTCAAGTCCAAGTCCAAAATCCAAATACATTCAGTTTACAACGATATAAAACAGGGAAAAGCAGCAAATCCTCACATTAGACAAAGTGGAACCAGAGAAAGAACAATGAAAATTGTTTTAGAACCAAACTAACATTTAACTATAATGGATTCTGTCAAAAATGTGCTTTAAATGTGCTTCCTACATTAGACCACATGTATGGGATTATAAATAACATTTCTATATTGCGTGAATATTGCGTATAAAGACTCTATCTGGTGACTCTTTACCACAGTACAGAAGCAGTGAGTGATATCGCTCCAGGTCAGATAGTTAAAAAGTTATTCCTCCATAAACACAGACACTGAGCTCTGCCTCCGAGGACATCAATTTGTCGAGCCATGAAATACTGCAGCACCAGAAAATCCTCCACTGTTCCACCCAGACATAACGGCAAGTGTCTTAATTAAAAGTGGCCCTTCCTGGACACCATAGACAACATGACACAAGCTCCCTGATTGGCTATAGGAAAAATATCTCTTTCTGTTTTGGGGGGCATCAATAAGCGAGTTTAACAACCAGTGACTTTTAATGGGATCTGTGTGTAAAGCTTCTTCATCAATAGGCCTAATGACCAGTTTTAGCCCGGCAGCCGATGGATGATCTGCCGATGGTTAGAGCCGGTTAATCGGATCAGCATTTCTCCAGGGCCCAGGGCTTCAAAGGCTGGTTTGAAACCCCACAGTAAATCCCAGATGGACTCTGCTGGGTCCAAATACAACAACTGTGCAAGGATGTTTAAATCAGACTCGGACTCGGTCCTGAGCTGGAAAATAATGTGGGTAATTTACTCTGGTGTTTTTGCATATTCACAAATCTTTAGCTTACTATTTAAAATATCCACTTATCTCATTGTAGTGTTTACAACAAGAATTTTTCCTGAACTGAAGAAAGGTTTGACTATGGTACTCTTATAGGAATGGGGCAATTCTTTAATTGAAAATGTTTAAATAAATAAATACACTAAACTACATTTGGAAAGAAAAGTCACTTTATCACTCTGGCAGCAGAAAGACAGAGCAAAAACATAACAAATCTCTAAAATCCAGGGTTGAACAAATGCAACTGAGAATCATACAAACTGATTTACATAATTAGATTTCAATATTCAATAAATATATTGCTAGTCTGGCTAATGCACTGAATGTCAATGGTTGGATATTCACTTTTTAATCTACTAATCTAAAACAAATGATGACAGTTACTACAAATCTCTTTTTTTAATAATATTTTTGGGGGAAAGTTGTCTACTATGAGAATAAAGTTCTAATATTGAAAAGAGTCATAATATTACAAAATAAAAAAGTAAAAAGAAATAGAAAAAAGTAATATTTTATGAATTAAGTATGTGTAGAAAATGGAAAATATTTCACACTCAAAAGAAAGAGTCAGAGGTTGGAGGATCACTTTAAATACTGCCTCATGAATCCAGAGTCATTTCCTGTTCAGGAGTAAATAACCCATTGACGCAGATTGTCACGAATTCGCATCACACCTCTTCCTTTCAGACTTCAAGCCAAGATAGCGCATGGATACCTGTTTGTGCATTTTCAATACAAAACCTAGGAACCTTTTGCAAGCCCTGGTTTCTCGTTTATGCCTGTTGCTAATTTGCATCATACATACATCATACCTGAATTTATATCTTTTCTGTGTTCTATAGACAAATTAACAATCTTCACCTAATTTAACATCAGCTTGAAAGCAAATGAAAACACAAATAATTTTTTTTATTGTAAGTCAAGGGGATAAAAAACATCTTTTAACGTTCTAACTCAGTGCCCCTGTAGTCATTGTTCTACCATCTCTTCAAGTAAATGTGTCACATTTGTGTGTTTTTTTAAATAAAAATGCATCTTTTCTCTTCCTGTAAAACCTCATGGTATTTTTGATGACTCATCTTGAACTCGAGGATGGTTCCATAAATGTATCCCATCAAATCTGATTTGTGCTAAGTAGCTAACCCGATTATCACCCAGAAAGTGACGGGCGGCGGGTGAATGGGTGAATCCTGGCCAGTGACTGTAGATGTTTCTGTACTGAAAAGTCTGCGTTACTAAATCCTCCCGTCAGTGAACTCAGCTCTTTCATGTTCTCTTTTTGATGCACAAATCCTGATATGACAAGCTCTTTGCTCCTGCTGGACTTGGCCTATGATGTCTTGCATGCTGCCCCGACCTCTGACCTCTGAGCCTCTGAGCCTCTGCAGCCCACCCCCAGCCCATCTCCACCCACCCTCCCCTCCTGATGTCCTGCTGCGGATGAACAGCAGAGAGACTGATGTCCGGTCAACCGACGTCTGACTGACCTTTACCAGCTCGGCCACAAGGGACTCATCTATCTCTCTGTCTCCCAGCATCCCTCACTCCCCCCGTCCCATCCCCTCTAATGCTAATGCAGCTGTTTATAACTGCCACATTGACTTTCTCCTGCCACTGTATGTAAATACAATCTGCTCTGATCAATGGACTGCGAGGTGACATGATGCTGACCACAAGCACACGTACACACACTCACTCAAATACACTTGCAAAAACTGAACATAAACATGTACTATATGCACATATAATCACAGAACAGCCAGTAGAGGGTTTCTGCAGGTTCACCAAGTTAAATTTAAGACTTTTTAAAACCTTCTTACAAGTATGAAAATACGACGGAAAACCAGTATGGACTTCTTGACCTAGATTTATTTATGATTAAATCACATTTTTCTGTACTTCCCAGCAGTATTAACTATAATTTCTAATGATATAACTAATTAAATAAATGCGACCAGGACTTGAAAAGGTGGCACAAAAGGGATGGATTAATGGTAAATTAATTTAAGTTTGCTAAAAATCTTCACTTGTCCTTCTTAGCTACTGTAGCTAGCAGTTTGTTTGCTGCAGGTCTGACGGTGCTGGCTGACACTAAAAATGAACAGTTTCCTGCAGCACAATTCACTTTTAGTTAAGAGGTGTTGAACGTCTTCTGTAATTCCATACGCACAAATAACAATACTTGTAAATTATTTTTCCGACAGTTTGAGGGTTTTTTTGTGAGGCAACTAAATTTAGTGCTTTTTAATTCTTTCCAAGACCTGCAGTAAAATGCCCCAAAATTTTTTCTCAAAGTGTAGATACAGCAGAAGAGAGTGGTCACATGTGTAAAGGCCTCAAACAATCAAATAAATAAATCAAATTCAATATGTTTCGCTCATTGAACACATGAGCACTGAGGCACTCTGGACATGTACACTACAGCACCCAGAAGGCCACACACTTCACGCCCCTCTTACCTCCCACAGGTGTCTGGTGTTTCTGACCGCTCCCGACTGCAGTTTGTCCACAAGCAGAGGGACTCCCTGAAATGGACCGATCCAGGTTCCCTGAGGGATCCTCTGAGCCGCACAGATCCCATAACCCAGACCAGGAACTGTACTGGTGCACAGACACACCTGCATGCACAACACAGAGAGGTCACAAAAAAACTCTGCAGTGGAGACATTTCTATATGTACAATTTATTTCCATGTGCACTGGGCAGGACATCAGTCAAAATGCTGAAAGTGAAAAGTGAGGTTACTGAGCTACTGTATTTTATTCTATTTCCATATTATGATATTTTATAATCCTACTCCCGCAGTAAGTAACAAGTACTGCAGATTCATGTTATTAATACAAAATCAACTAATATATTATGATGTATTATTACAGGTTTAGTTCCCTGACAGAATATCAAATATCTCACATTGTCTCCACTTTTACCAGCCACAACATTAAAGTGATGAGTACTTTTTTTAGTTTTGGTACTTTAAATATATTTTTATGCTAATACATTTGAACTCTTTACTGCAGGACTAGCAAAAGAGTATTTCTTCACTGTGGTATTACCATCTTACTAAAGTAAGATCTCCTAGAATAGCGTACTCCTGGCTGTGACAAATGGAGACCAGAGACGATGCTGCCTTCACTGTCCTCACGTATCGTTCAGCTTCATTATATCCTTCTGGAGTTCTTCATCTGATCAGTTCACCTGCTGCCCTTTTGTCTACATTTTCCTGCACCCCCACACCAACCTGCTAAAGTAACTTTACACAGCTCTTCTACAGTTAGTCATCAATAAGATGTCATGTCAGTCCTCCAGAGCCGCTTCCCTTCATCAAGCTTTGTGTCAAACAAATGTCAAATAGACTAACGTTACTTTCATCCATGCAAAAATGCAGAACACATATTAAGTAAATTTTTGGTAACATAAGCTACCGATTGATTAATACAGCTTCTTCTTACACTGTAAAATCCAATAGTCAGGAATCAAAACAATCCGACAGACAGAAAGGAAGTCTCACCTCTCTGGGCAGGTCTCTGAGCCAATCAGGGACGTCCGGCAAGGTGACGGGAGCCGCCGTGCTGCTGGTGCCGACGAGTCGACGCAGAGAGTGAAGAGGTCCGTGCATCGGACACTCACCGTTCCTGTTGTCTGCACACATGTCACAACCTGGAGGTCAAAGGGGAGATTTTACTGAATGTTACCTTTAATAACACACAAACAAACAAACAAAATGATTTAAAAACATAACCTTTATTTTAAACATTGAATTTTGATTTTAAGACAACAATTTTGAAGTAAAAAGATTGTTTTTGTAGGAATTTTAACGTTATTCTATTCCAAAGTGTGTTTTTATTTATTTTAAGTGTCTTTATTCTGACTTTTATGCAGCGACTCCTTTAATTAAAGATGGGAGAAAATAAAAGTAGCATTGACCTTGAATTTAAGACTTTTAAAGACTTATAAGGACCTGCAGACACCCTGAATAAATCTTAAAAATGTATTAACGAAACCTCAGATTTAACAAATGTTGTAAAACGGCAGTGTAGGTAGAATGATTAAAGGGCTTAAAGATAGTTAATCTGCCTTTATTGGAGCTCGGTGTCTCTTAAAGAATTATCTGCAGCTCTGTCTGATGAATTGAACAGTTTTTTATTGGTGTTTACAGTCAAAAGTGAGATTTAAATGATTATTTAAAACTTCACAAGTCTAGTTTTATCCATTGGCCGTATGAAATAACCTTCTGACAAAGTGAAAAACTGAAAGTGAAGGAAAAGGAAATAGGAGGAAAGAGGCAGGATTGTTGTGACCATGTGTCTGAAACTCTCCTCTAAAAGTCCAAATGAGAAAAAAACACGTCCTCTTTGCAGTGTTTTTCCACGTTAAATGTGGCGAGCAGCGTATTGCTGGGAATTAGCGAGTGTCAACATTTACTCAGAGATGCAGTCTGACAGTAATGGATGTTAATTGACTGTAGCAACATAATGAGAGATTATTATCTGGACACAAAACTCCCACAGAGCAGAGAGGCTGAGAGGAACAGGATGTTAATGTTGGGTTTTTTCCCCCTGCTTTTCCAAAAATTAAATATCCGCCGTTTGAGAGAGTGATGGCTACTTTTACACCATGATTGATAGAAGTAAATTAAACTATATTATGGTCATTTATAAACCACAAGATGTAACACAGGTTCACGGTTGAGTAAATGGGAAAAATTCTACAGACTGAGTTCTCCGTGATCCTCGACTATTACTGTGAAATAAACAAAAAAATGTTTAGGATCTGACATCTACTGGAAACGGATTCAGTTATTGTCTTCACCAGTGGGAACACTGGGTTTAATTGGGCACATATGGAACCCTGTGGTACTCAAGGAACTGACTGTTGTGGGCAGAAAGGAAAATGTTAAGTTGTTGACATATTTAAAGAAAGTCCTTTTTCTGACTCGACTAAAACAAAGAGAAGTCTTAAGGTGGAAACCCCAACATAGTATATGTATATTACAGGGTTCAACATTTTGGGAAGGCTTCAGGAAGTTGCTGCGCCTGTCTGTTGTTGGGCAAGAAATAGAACCAGTACTTTTTTTTTAATGGCAATTTGACAAAAAAACTTATCTGAACTTTCCCAGAGCCCCCAGCTATATTTTATGTCCTTCATCAGCAGGTAGAGGCCATAACATGTGGCTGAAAGCAGGGGTGCAATGTGTTTTTACTCAAGTACTGCACAAATTTGAGGCACTTGTACTTTATCTGAGTCTTTTCTTTTCATGCTTGTATCTCAGATTAACCCATAATGAAACTAATCATTAGTTGCAGTCTGATACAAAATACTTCAAACAGAGCTCCACCTCAACAACTAGTAGTAAAAACCTTCTTTTAAATCAATGCAGGAGGAATAATAATCAAGTGATAGAATATATAATAGTCACAGTCACAGGGGACATTTCACTGCAGTGATGTACTTTTCTTTTAATACTTTAAGTAAATTTTCCTCAGTATACTTTTACTTAAGTAACATTTTCAAGGCCAGACTTTTACTTGAAGCAAAAAGTGTGTTTCATGTGATATTAGTACTTTTACTTAAGTAAAGGATCTGAATTTTTCCTCCACCACTGGCTGAAAGCTCTGGAAAAGCTCCAATTGGTGACCTAAGAAATATTAGTCTGAAAAAACATGAAAGGTTCTTGTTTTGACTCTAATACAGAAATGTCTTTCACTCTGCAACTTTATATTCAAAGACCCAGAAAGTATTTGAAGTCACGACCTCTCTGTTACCAAATGAATCCCCTCTTTCTGAGCTACATCATCTCTCACACACACAGTAATTAGGTGTAGATTTCAGACTCATGAGAATAAACATAACGTCTGTCCCGCTACATTTTCACAACATTATCTGCATTCAGTCTGAAGTAAAACAACAAGAGAGAATCCCTCCCTGCGGAACCGAGCTGTTTTAGCTGCAGATGAGCTGCGATCGTCCGTCCACAGCGACACCCTGAGATTATTTTCACAGCGTTCGAGCTTCATCAGAGAGCTCACAGTGCAGAGAGACGAGAGAGAGGCAGAGGAGACGAAGAAGAGTTCAGACTCAACTGTCGATGACATAAAATCTCAACAAGCGTTTAACTGTGAGCTCTGTGACGTTTGATTTGCGTGTTTTTACACTGCAGCTCTGTTCTGACCCGCACTCACACAACCTGTAAAATACACTTAATACTGCTACTGCTACTACAAACCCCTGATACAAATACACACAGGCAGACTTGGCACCTATTTATAATTTTCTTACTCTTTCATGATTTAAACTATAACTCTGCAAATATTTTATTTAGGCAAAGTTCTTGCGCAGCTGCTTCTAAACAATATTAAACATGTGGGAACTTCAGCCTCTTTTGTTAACTGAAAAAAGTATTTGTAGAAAAACACTGACAAAAGCTGTTGAACACACTGAACTCCAGAGACTCAAGTAAATACAAATAAATATTAACAGGGAACATAATATTTATTTAAAATTCACTTTACATATATTTACTATATCCTTCTAAATTCATTTATGATATATTGATTTAAGAAAAATGTGTTTATTTGCATTACAAAATATATATAGGACCCCACAACAGACAGAAATGCATCACTGAATTGCTTTATATGCAAATGTTCATTTGTTCTACTGCTACTTCTGATATGATTTATTTATTACTACTATAGAAGTACTTTTACTATAAGACTGATAATGGCTCAACAATAAAATATAAAGGTGAATGATGTTGAAATTGAATTTTTTAAAGGTTACATGTGAAAAAAGTTTCAAAAGGTTTTTTTCATTTTCCTTTTTCAAACTCCATCTGTTTATAAACGCTTAAAGCTACAGAAACACCCAGCAAATTGACCATGCGTTAATAATTTCCTGTCAAACTACTAATTCCAAAGTCAATAATCTGTCTTCAAACTTGAAAAAAGTACATTTGCTTGCTTGTCTTGAGGCCTTCTGATGTCTGGGCTCATGCTTCAGGCTAGTTATGACTACCGTAGAAAAAAGCGCATGTTAAATACATGTTAAATATTATATGTATGACATATGTTGTGAAATTCTTTTCACATTTGATGTTTTGTTTTTCATATCTGAAAAACACGTGTGAATTTAACACATGTATGAAATAATTGATGTGATATTCTGTTCAACATGTGTATGTGTGATAATGCGCTTTTTGTAATGGCAACACTACTATTACACTGACTCATACTAATAATACAGTTAAAGACGCACTCTGCAATGAAGTCTTTCCTTCACTTAACCTATTGTCTCTTCCTCCTCTTCGTTCTTCTCTTCCTCTCTTACAGACTGATGAACTGGCTGTGAACTTGTTATGGCGTGCTCTCCTTGCTGCCCATCATTCAAACTCAGTATTCTGTTACATCCATCGCCAGTGTTTAGACAGCTCCGCTCTGCCTCTGATCTCTGAGCGATGGACGCCTTTTCCAGTGAAAACGTCTGCGGGCACTTCGTACTGTGCTTCTGTGATGTGGTTTGGTCCCACGGAATGAGGATTTTTTTTTTGTCAATATTAACATTTTTATCTCTTAAAACATCTATTTTCAAAGAGTGGGTATTAATCTGCCTCATAAACATATCAGTCACCTATATATCCATGTATTGAGACTTTGAGGCGCCACTTATGATTTCTACCTTTGCACGTTTCTGACTCTAATCCAGAGCAATTAAGTGCTACAGTATCAAGTCATTTCCAGACTTGTCATCATCACAAGCACCAAACAGCGAGAAGGCTGAGCTTCCACAAACTCAACTAAACCAGCACCCTTCATAAAGACTATCGATTAATGAATGGCTGCGTTTGTTAACAACACAGCTGCCAGTCCAGATGAGGACGGACCACACAGCAAGGCTGCACTCCTACTCTGTAAACCCTGAACAAACCTCTACAGACCATTGTAGCCTCTTTTAGCACAAAGTTTTGTCACATTTTGGCACATTTACTGTGCTGTCTCCTTCAGTCTCAGTGTTTGATAAACCCACTGTACACAAGCAGCAGACAGACACGGTTAGAGACTAGCTGGTGAAGAAAGTGGAACATCTAGCAGCTGAAGAGATAGATACTTCCCTGAGGAGCCAGAGCTAAAAGGAGTTGGAATATTGGACTTATATTTGTCAGGTGGACACAAACATGACCGTAATGTATGGGATGATCCTGTTCAACCCGTTCTCACTTCCCATCTTGTCACGTATGGACGCATGATCAAGACCCATCGCCGTCAGTTTGTAACGCACGGGGGATCCCTATAGCATCATAGTTCAACGCAGTGGGGGAAGCACTGTAGCATCAGTTTTTGACGGTAAATGATATTTAACAGAAAAGACTGAGTAAGGAGGTAGTTGGGGTGGATGGAGGGCCAGAACCCTGACTTGAGACTTGAGATAAGTTTGCCCTGAGACCGGGGTTTGTGTCCTGTGTGAAACAAATAGTCAACATAAAACATTTTTTATTTAAGTACACGAGTTACCTAAACTGTGTAAATGATGTAAGTTAACTTAAGTGTTAACTGACCTACGTAGTTATATTAACCCAAACCACGATCTTTTCCTAAACTTAACCAAGTAGTTTTGTTGCCTAACCCTAATCAAATTGCAACGTTTCATGACTTCAATAACGT